CACTGGCAAGAAATCCAGTGAACACGAACATCACTTCGGTGGACCCAGAAACACATCACGGATGCGCACACACGACCTACAGCCTATTTGGCAGAAAATAAATCAACGTTTTAAGGAACTCTCTCACAATTCTAAATTTTACTCTCACAGAATGAGAAATTTAATTCCTAGACTATACTAGTGGTAACATCAAATTATTGAAGTAAAAGGGAAAATCGCCAATTCCTTAGATTTATATTTACCACTGGTGGCTGGGGATGGGAGGTCCTGATATACAGAGAGCGTGCAGTGAAGCACACACACACAATTTATATTTTTCCTAAGAAGAACTAATGGCAGAAAAATATCCTCGGCACAAACGGCACGTATGAGCCAGAAGTGCCGACTGGACTGCGGCTGCGCGGCTCCGCGCCGTCGGAGAGACAGTCGGACTCACTTGCACGCGTAGCTGTCCACGGCCTCCACGTACATGCACGCGCCGCCGTGCAGGCAGTACCCGTCGTGGGATGGGGGACACCCCGGGTAGCTATTTCTGACGGGATAGCGGCCGTCTTCCCCGAGGTCAGAGGGTGGAGTAGAGTCTAGAAGAATCCAAGACATTCCTTTTATTTTCTGAAGTGGTGAGGGTCTTTCAGGTATGAGTATCAGGAACTAACTTCCATGAACAATTCGTAATGTCTTTTAGTGGCAGCAGAACTACCGGCAGGGACAGGTTCGCTTTCCAAGACAGACCTGAAGTCAGCATCCCTCAGGCTCAGTGTGTCTGATAGAAAGCGTGCTGGAGGCAGGCAGGAGAAGGGCCGATCCTAAACCATCACGTGGATTCAGAGTCACCCATCTCATTATAAAAACAAATCTGTCATCACCACTAACCATGTGACATGACAGCGAGCTTTAGGTCTCGCGGAGCAAGTGGTATCTCTTCGTGGCTTAAAAACTACCCACCAGTACGCAGCCGGACGCCTACAATATCCTGGGGGGTCTCAAACATTCCCACACGATGCTTTCTTCTAAACACTCTTAATATTTAACTTTTGGGGCAGCCCTCGAAGACAAGATCGTGGCAACAGTGACAGGGAGGAAACACGACCCTAACACGGGGAACGCCAAAGCAGTGACGTCTCTTTCACGGAAAGGCTCACTGCTCCTTAAAAGGAAAACGTCAGGGTGTGTAGCTGACTATAGAAATATGGGCAGTTTTTCAACGTCTTTAAGAAGAGCAAATTATTGGAGAAAATAACGTGCTAAAAAAAGAGACTAAGTAAGCGCAGAATTTTTCTCTCTTAGAAGGTTTTCTGCCTGCAGAGCTAAGAGGCAAATGGCTGGCGGTGACAGGAACAGCCTGACCTGGTTTTCAGGTGAGGCCAGCTCCCCTCTGGGGGCTGACGGTGGGATAATACTGCCATTATGGAGAGAAAGTTCAGGAAACGGGAGTTAACCACTATGAACTTTTCAAAAGAAAGAGAAGAGAGCCAGAGTTCTAATTCAGACAAAGAAATATTGACTTTTGAATATTTTGAAATCCCTGAGAGCGATTTAAAATGCTGCGTCCAGACATCCTCACTGACCTGCCTAGCCCTGCAAAATGTATCCAACAGCCCCAGAAATCAACATTAGAAATTGGGAGACTAGTTGCACAGTTAAAAAGAAACACTTGTGTTCCCACCTTTATTAAATCGTGAGTAATAAAAAGCGATTTATTCGAGATGCTGTTCAATTAAGAAAACTTGGACCGTTTCAAATTCTCGAGCCAGCATCATCCCCGTCAGGAAAGCCAGCTCTCCAGCCTGGTTGAACTGAATGACTTTTCTAGAATCTCTAACACAAATACATGGGGTGCAGAATTCCCCTGAACCCTCCCCTCCGATGGAGACCAGCCAGCCACCTACCAGGGCAGACCAGTCCGGGTGCAGACGGGCGGCCGGCGCACGTGCAGGCGTAGCCTCCCTCTGTGTTTGTGCAACTGGCATTTTCTCCACAGCGGTGCGTCCCCAGCTGGCACTCGTCAATATCTGTTAGGAAAGTCAGAGTAGGGAAGAGAAAAGCAGGGTGCAGAGGAAGCAAGCGGGTTATACAGTTGGAAAGTCCAACATTCTGGAAGGGGAGCATCTTCAGCTTCCGTCATGGTGCACGTTCCAGAGCCCTGTGCATTTTTAGGTTGAAAGAGACCATCGTGAACGCCGGACGGGGAGATGCGCGGGTCCCTTGCTGTACGCCCATGCAGGCGTTCCGAGCCCCCGACAGAAGGCTGGAAGTTCTCCTCCTGCTTGGAAGGAAAGGAGGCTTCCCAGAGATGGAGACTGGTTAACTACCTCTAGGCAAACATTCAGAAGTTCAGACCGTAAAGATTCATACTTATCTTTTTTGAATAGG